AGAATATACAAAACAACATATAAAAACATTAATTAACATACATATATATATAGATATGCATGTATTTTTAGAGTTTGTCTATTGTTTCTTGCTCATGTATCTTTTTCTTATTAATGATCCTTCACCTTCTTTTCCTTTTATTATAGAAGCTTCTCCTTTTCTTCTTCTAGATGTTTTTCTTTTTCCATCATTGTGTTCGCCTTTTTACCCTTGGACATAAAACTCAGCAAATATATTAGTAACAAAGAAAATACTTATCATTCAATTTTATAACAAAATCATAAATATGAAAATAACTTCCTATTCCCAAATATCAAAAGTAGCGTGGTCATGTGGGTCTGCCAGCCATACGGCCCAGTACCAGCCGTTCAACCAGGGGGGACTGTGCGAGCAACACCTCCCTCCTGAGGTGTGCTTGTACCCTGCGCAAGCTGAGGTCGACTCCTCTATACCAGGAATCAACTTCTCAGCTCCGCATTTGGTTTCCATTTCACAGCCCGAAGGGGACATCAACCTTGAAAGGTTAACGAACGGGGAAAGGGATCTGTCCCTGGTTGCTACCTCTTAAGCTACTCACTGGTTTCCCGGGAACTATGATATTTAGGAAGAGTTTTAGCAATTGCACTACAAATATGGTTAAACAAAAATTACCCAAAAATACATACACTTATATAAAAAAGAAACATATACACCCATAAACAAGAAGTAATAGCAGCAAATAGAGTTTGAGGTAGTTAGTTGTTAATTAAAATGTTCATGATTATTCCAAAAATTCAAGCTTTTCTGAAAACACTACTTTTTCTTCACTGGAGATGGTTTGATGGATTCGGCGCTTCTTCTTTTGGCAGGCTACAAGTTCTGCGATATGCTTTGTTGTCTCATCTGTCACAACTCAAAGAGTGACATCACCATTCTCACACTGAGAAAATTGGACCACATCCGGTATAGACACAACCAATTGTAATACAGATTGAAAGCCTAGTTCTTGGACAGGCAAGTCTTTATATGTCATGGCTTTGTATTGCAATTCTAGTGCAGTTGGTGTTAGATCTTCTCTTTCCGATATCAAGACCGATCTTAATTCTTTTTTTACTGTGTCCATTAGCGGTATTGATTTTACTGAATTGGTAGTGGTCGTTTCTTTTGAGGGGTGTTGCTTACCAAATGTGGTGAAAGCTAGTTCTGAATTTGAGGCCCATCTGTGGATGTTAGCTACAGGCCTTGAACTATCGGCAACTATCCCCTGGGCAGCGCCATCTTGGCGGATGTTTACATTCTGAGAGCCAGAAGCTCCTTGGGCACTGCCATCTTGGATGTTAAGAGTGTCACCGGATGTGGGCGTAGCGCAGATGTCATCATGGGCCTCTGTTACTATGGTGTTGGTTACCGCGGAGGTGCCATTTTGGGAGATGGTAAAATTTTTCGCGCCACAAGCCGAGCCGCCATTTGGTGTTCCTAATTTCCCGCCGCAGACTCTCGCGCCAGCTATTTTCCCGCCAGGGCGTCCCACGCTCCAGGGCTTATCACCATTTTGTGGAGAATTATTTAACTTGGCGTCCTTTTTGCCCTTGTCTTTTGATCCGCCATTTTGTATGCCCTCCACACTCACATTTTTATAATTTTGTTCTTCCAATTTCATAATATGTTTCAATATTGCAAAAATTGTCTTCCATGCATCAACAGCCTTAGTGGCATGGCGATCTCTATTATGCATTGCAACTGTTAGTAAGGATCCGATTTGTGCCCACTCCAAATACGTGATTAATTCCGGAACAGGGTCCATATTTTTATAAATCCATCTAGTAAGTGTTTTCAGGGACCGTTTATTTAATTTATATCCATGATTTTTAATCAGGTCCTTTAAGTATCCATACATCTCAGTCTCCTCCCTTGAAGGGCGAGCTCCCACCTTGATGTTAGTTGTAAAGGGGGTAATTAAAATCCTTGCTCACCTCTCCAGCGTTGCTGTGCAGTGTTTTTGTCGTTTAGCCAGGTCTGCCATCCAGCTGTGATGGCTCTCTAAGCGAGGCAGTGAAGCTCTCAGGTGTTAAGAGTTAGCTCACTGATCTCTGTTGCACCTCACCAGCTGCTGCTGCTGCTTGCTACTGTTGCTGTCACTCCTCACACGGGGCACCATTTGCGGAGGTCGGCACTGAAATAAAGACCTCCACAAACTTTTCTGGGTGCAGCTGGTGAGATGATTTTATTAGAAAAGTAACAGGGCAACGGGACGGCTTAAAGGGAGGAGTGAAAGGGGACAAAAAAGCCCAACACAAAATGGCTCCAGCCTTAAATAATATGGGTAAGGAAGGTACTAGAACAGAAGGTGGGGTTTAGGCGGAGCATGCAAATCACAACCAATCACAGAAGATAGGGGCAGAACATAACCATATATGGTATTAACCAATGAAAGAACAGAACATACATCCAACACAACACAATACAACAACTTATATGCAAAACCCACTATTTCCCCATTAATTGTACATTTTTATACCACCACAGGCACCTGTCCCACAGAGGGTAGATTTACTAATACGGATTGGCCTGGATAATGGAGTGGTTTTACGGGATCTTTACTTTTGTCTTCCCTCAGGTGCAGGGGTGGATCTTTCAGTGGATCATGATCTTTCAGCCTGGTGCGGCATAGACTACAGGCAGAGATCACTGTGTTGCACAGCTCCCTGGTAACTGGCCACCCTCTACTGATTGCTTCTTTAAACAGATCTCTGTTTCCTGAGTGGTCTCTTTTTATGTGTAACCATTCTAACAGATGTTCTCATTTTTGTCCCTCTCCCTCTATTGTTATCTTAGCTAACCGTGTCAGTGAGTCTACTTGATTGTTTAACAGATGAGCGGGGTTGTTATCTGTTTGGTGTGCAGCAACCCATCCCACAAGGAATGTTTTTTGTTTAGTGATGTTTAGGATCTCTTTCCATTTTTCTTGTTGCCACACTGATATTTGATTCACTTCCCATTGATTTTTGTTCCCAAAAGGGGAGCCACTCTGTACATCCTTTGAATACTGCATAGGAATCTGTGTAAATGTATGTGTCTTCTTCAGTGTCTGCTTCTCTGGTAAATACACTCCATATTGCTACTAACTCCCCGACCTGAGCACTCCCTTCTCCTTCTGTCACTACCCTGTTCCCTGAATCAACATGTAGGGCCACGGCTCGATATTTCCACACTTTTCCTTCTCGTCTGGCAGAAGCATCTGTAAACCAAACATTTTTTAAGTGAGGTTCAAAAGCGGGAGCAGGTTTTATACAGGAAGGAGGAGGGTTTGAATCAGGTAGCTTACAAGATTGTTCTTGTATTTGGAGTATTTTTGGAGCTCCTTCAGTTATTTGACGAGAGTGATAGTAATGATCAATTTGTGCATACCATCTCCGGACTGTTCCTCTCTGAGCTACCCCTGCAGGAGGGGGGGTTCCAGATATCACTGGCTTTAAAACCTTAAAAGGCCCTCGCAGAATGATTGATTGGTGCCAAATGTCTTCTCTGCTTCCTGCAAGGCTAAACAGACCACAAACAGGCCTTTTTCCCAAGCAGAGTATCGTTTTTCAGCATCTTTTAGGCTGCAAGAAAGAAAACCAGTGGGGCGAGTGGGATCTTCAGGTCCCCGCTGCCACATATGTATGGACAGACTGTGGATTGTAAATCCCCATTCAACTTGGAGTGGATCTGTGGGATGTATGGGCCCCAGAGTTTGGTATACATTAGCTTCAAAGATTACTAATTTTAGGGCTTCTTCATGCATGGGGGTCCACTCCCATGTTGCTTTTTTTCGTGTCAGGTCGTACAGGGGACGAGCAATAATGGAGAAATCTGGCACATGTTTTCTCCAAAAAACCAGCTGGAGCTCTCTTTTACTCTCTGGCATCTTTACTTGCTCTAGGGTGTTTAAGGTTTCAGGAGGGATACACACTGCTCCTCCTTTCCACCATATACCTAGGAATTTTACTTTGGAGGTGGCAAGCTGTACCTTTTCTGTGGGAATTTGGAGTCCCAGACTTTCTAGGTGAGTGATAATATTTTTCTGGGTCTGGCTCACTGGTATGACATCAGAGCCACCAATTAATATATCATCCATATACTGATATATCTTAGTTCCTTCTTCAGGAGTAATTTGAGCCAGCTCCTGTGCGAGTGCATGATGGGCCAGGGTAGGGGAGTGTCAGTATCCCTGAGGTAGATGAGTAAAGGTATATTGATTACCCTCCCAGGTAAAAGCAAAACGATCTCGGTCTGCTTCCTGTAAGGGAACCATAAAAAACATATCTTCGACATCAATAGTTGCAAGAATTGGATGGGCCTGCTCCTGAACTGTAGCAATCAGTTCAGCTATGTTAGGTACTGCAGCTGTCAGGGGGCCACTGTTAGAGTTGAGATGTCGATAATCTACTGTAAGCCTCCAATTTCCATTAGGTTTACGAACAGGCCATACCGGCGAATTGTATGGTGAGTGTGTAGGGACGACCACTCCTTGCTCTTGCAGTTCTGCAATTACTGGAGCAATTCCTTCACATGCCCCTAAAGGAAGCGGGTAGGGTTTCACGTTTGTTATTTTGGAAGGAGGCAGACTTGGAGCGGTTTGCAACAGACAGACAGAGAGGGATGGGAGACCAAACACCCATTCTCTCCCTCTGGCATTTGTCCAGGCTCGACCCTTTAACAGATCTAACCCCAGGATGTTAGCTGGTAGTGGCCCCACAATCATGATAGTTTCTGTGGCTGTCTCATCTCCAGGTAACCAGCATTTTACTTGAGCAGTGTGTTGGGGTTGGGATTTGCCAAAGGCATCAGTTACCCATATTTTTTTTTTGTCTGGCTTAATGCCACACTGGGTAGCAGCTTCAGTTTAGAGTGCTGAGACCTGTGCACCCGTGTCCACCACGAATGTAACCAAAGATTTAAAAGGGCCGAGAGGAAAAGCGATCACCATATCTCCCTGGTTCTTTTCTGTGAGCCTTCTCATATAAACCCACTGAGCTTGCTCACTGGGAGCGGCGAGTCCCGTTTCCCAACTTGGGATCGGTTAAACTGATTTCTGGTGGGGCTGAGGGAACCACAGTGTTGGATTCCTGGGGAGGGTTGCCCCCAGGGGGTGACTCATGCTCTCTGATCTTATCCCACTGCTTTATCAAGTGTTCCAAATTAGCTGTGGGTAGTTTATCCATCACTTCTCGAGGAATTCCTTTTGCAATACCCTCCACCCACAAACTGTACCTTGTTTGCTCACTAGGTGTCGCATTTTGCTGACAATTACCTGGCAAAGGTGGTTTTCGGATCTCTCCTACCCTTCTTATATCTGTTTTTTGCTTAACACTACTTGTATCAGAGACCCCCAACTGTCGACCAGTAGTTACCAGTTTTTGGGCTACCTCTAACCAGGTCATCCCCAGTGGAGCACCCCTTCTTCTGGGCCTGAGGGTTGTCATTATGCGCTCTTGTAGTTGTTTAGCATGAGTTTTTAGTGCATCAGGCAGGCCTCTGATCAGGGCGGGAAGTCGTTGTGGATCTGCTTCGAGTTCCATAGGGGAATGCCGCTGCGAGTCCAACAATCTTGTATGGATTAATTGGAGCCATGCAGCTTTTTGTACGCTTTCAACAATGTGGCCAATTTTGGGGGTTTTAATTGTGTGAGGATCTCCCCTTTCGATAGGGTCTAACCCACCTGCCCAGTAGGCAGCTCTCTGGGTCAGCGGCCATGGGGCTCGGTCATCATTTGTGGTCAGGAAGACCCCTGGGCCCCAAAATCCTCTGGCCTCATTTTCACTTCACTAAACAAAATCCAATCCCCTCCTGTAAGGGACACTCTCCACACATATTCAGTCTCTGATTCACTGGCCTTACGACTGTATTTTTCCTGAATTCTGGCCAGTGCTTCCCCGGTGTACGGGGTAATTCGTGTGGTAATTTGCCGATCTGCCCCCTGGCCAGTGGTTTCAGTTTTAATGAGGGGACGCATATGTATTACCCCCTCCTCCGGGTAACTTTGCTTCAACTCTTCTAATTCCCCAGAGGGGTACAGGGATTTGTTAACATCTACCGGTTTAGGGTACTTTGAATTAATGTCTCGCAATTCACAATTTTTCATTTCCACTATCTTTTTAAACCTTTCATTTTGTTCCTCCTCATCTTGCAGGGCTGACCGAAGCAATGAGTTAATCTCTCTCTCTTTCTCCAGTGCCTGACTTCAGCAGTTAACTGCAGGCGTTCTTTTCCTAATTGCTCCTGTAATGCCTTCATTGACTCTTGAAGAGATCTTATCACCTCACCAGTAGATTTTTGAATAGCCTCTTTTTCTAGCTGGTCCTGCAAAGTTCTCATTGACTCTTGGAAAGATTTTATCACTTCACTTACAGATTTCTGAATAGCCGATTTTTCCTTTTGCACTGCTCTAAGGAACACGCCTAAGACAGCACCCACAAAAAACAGTTCTAAACCAAGGATAACTATCAGGAGGGAATAATCCCCATATAACGCAAGCTGGGGTGTCATCCCTTTTGACTCAGTCATTAACCCAGCTCAGGTTAATGTCTTTCTCCCCCTTAACCCTCTGAGGGTCGGCTTGACTCTCTCCTGGAAAACCTTTCAACAGGTCCAGGTACCAGAGAACCTTTCAACAGGTCCAGCCCACACCAGGAAACCTTTCAACAGGTCTGATGTGCCCGGGTCACACCGAGAGGAGAAAAATTCTCACTATAATTTTACAGCGAAGGGATAGTCACCATTTGACTCGCCCTCGGTATCAGTTTTAGAATACACTGATTACTCCACCACATCCAAAGGACCCTGCTCGCTGCACCAAAAAAATGTTACAACCCGCCCCAGGAAAAGAGGGGGGGAGGTAACCCAGGTTTTATCAATAATTCCTTTGGGGTGGATTAAAGCGAAACAACACTAAATAATCGGTGTCTGAAAACATATATTGACAAGATTTATTTTAACAATTTTGTATCAATAGGTATGTTAACATTTTGGGTGCTGTCACAACCTTTCGGGGGAGGAGAAAAAGAAATGCATAGGGGAGAGAAGGACAGGGTAAGAGTAAAAGAGAGCAAGAGAAAAAAAAGGAAAAGATGAGAGTGGTATAATCACCGCCCACTGGATCCAGCGATGTCTTGATCCGCAGGCGGTGGGGGAAAGAAGAAGAAAAACCCTGCCAAAACCCCCAAAGTCACCAGTCAGTATCTATATCCTTTGCACCTCCCCCAAGGCGGGAGTTGTTTTCATGGGGTGGTGTCTCCCTTTTTGGCGTGGAGTTCGTGGTAAACTCGGCTCTCCCCGCTTTTTCGGGGCTTGACATCTTCTGCACTGGAGGAGGGGGGATGGGCCCAGTTGCCCATCAGCCTGCAGAAGTCTCTTAGAATGCATAAATCATTAACCATTCCAGTCTCCGACACATCATCTGCCTGGACTTATGCAAAGTTTGACACTATCCTGCATGACATCCTTGTCTCTAAGTTGGAGAGACAAGGATTTGCTGGATGAGCTACTTGGTGGACAAAGAACTGGCTGGATGGCAGCACACGAAAGAGTTCTGGTCAATGACTCATTGGCCATGTGAAGACGAGTGATGAGTGGTGTCCCTCAGCGATCGGCACTGGGGCTGACACTGCTCAACATCTTTCTCAGTCACAATGACAGTGGGAATCGAGTGCACCCTCAGCAAATTTGCTGATGATGCCAAGCTGTGTGGTGTGGTTGATGTGCTGGAGGGAAGGGATGCCATCCAGAAGAACCTTGACATGCTCATGAAGGGAACCTCATGAAGTTCATCAAAGCAAAGTGAAAGGTCCTATATGTCGATCATGGCAATCCCAGACACACCTACAGATTGGGTGGAGAAGTGATTGAGAACAGCCCTGTGGAGAAAGACTTGGGTGTGATGGCTGATGAAAACCTCAACACGAGCTGGTGTGCTTGCACATCAGAAAGCCAATGAAATCCTGGGCTGCATCAAAAACAGCATGGCCAGCAGGTCGAGGGAGGTGTTGTTCCCCGTCTGCTCTTGTGAGACCCTACCTTGAATACCGTGTACAGTTCTGGTATCCCCAGCAGAAGAAGGCCATGGAACTGTTGGAGCAAGTCCAGAGGAGGGACACAAAGTTCATAGAAGGACTGAAGCACCTCTCCTACAAAGACAGGCTAAGAAAGTTGGTGCTGTTCAGCCTAGAGAAGAGAAGGTTGCATGGAGACTTCAGAGCAATCTTCCAGTATCTGAAGGGGTCTACAGGGAAGCTGGACAGGGACTCTTTCTCAGGAACTGTAGTGATGGGACAAGGATTAAAGGGGAACAAATTGTAAGAGGTGAAATTTAGGTTAGATATTAGGAAGAAATTCTTCACTGTGAGGGTGCTGAAACAGTGGAACAGGTTGCCCAGGAAGGCTGTAAATGCCCCTACCTTGGCAGTGTTCATGGCCAGGTTGGATAAGGCCTTGAGCAATCTGGTCTAGAGGTAGGTGTCCCTGCCCATGGCAAGGGGGTTGGAACTAGATAATCTTTAATGTCCATTCAAACCGCTTAACATTCTATGATGTTACTGGCAGAATTGGGTGGGTTTGGACAACGGGTCCATTTACCATTTACTGTCTGTTTCTGGCAGCAGATGGAGTAAACCCGTCTCAAAGAGTGCCACGGCCTGAGGGTGAATGGGATAGGGACGAGACACTGCACAAAGGGTTCTGACACAGTAGAAGGTCAGGGTGCAATGGCCAGTTTATTGAGGGGAATGAAGACTTACATATGGTTTGGGTAAGGGGAGGTCTAATAACTGGGGCAGAGCATAGGGTTGACATCTCAGTGGAATACGGGATTGGGGAATGAGAGAAAGGTGGGAGGAATTTGGGAGTATCTAGGGGAAGGGGGCCAATGGGAGCTCACTCCACAGTGCGGCACTCATCAGCCAGTCAGTGTGAGAGATGAGCAGGAAAGCAGGGGAGGGCAAAGGGGGTAAACAACTTCTGGTGGGAAAAACGTGAGGGCAAGTCCAGACAAGCCCTGGACAATACAAACCAAGGAGATTGACACAGAAGTATATGTGGGGGTACATTAAACATGGTATAAAACTGGGGAATAACAAGAAAGTCCATGAATTATTAGTTCCTTCAGGCTCCATATAAGTCCCTTCAGGCCTTAAACACTTTGGTGTTCCTCCTCAAAAGAGGAAAAAGATCTTTGCTTAGGAGTTGGCAGGGCTCACTGAGAGAGCTTTAAATGAGATTGGAAGAGGGAAGGGAATAAGCCAGGCTCACTTGGGATAAGCCTGAGGGCGGCACGCTGATGTTGGGGAGGGAAGCAGAGAGAGGAAGTGCTGTCTCCAAATATCATGAAACTGGAGCAAAACTAGTAGGAAAAAAGGTTTCTTGTCGCGGTCTGGGTTTGGAGTGGGACGACAACAACACAAAGGATTCAGACAAGGTGGAAGGTCTTGAGCTATCGCAGTTTATTGAGGGAAAATGCTGGCTTAAATAGGGTTCGGGGTGGAAAGCACTGGAATAGTAGGTGGAGCATGGGATTGACAAGAAATTGAACAAATCAGAGAAAACAGGAGGGAACACCAGGAACAAGGACCAATCATGCAGGACTCTGCACTGCGGCTAAATCCTACCAATCAGAACGAGGGTACAGCAACAAGGGAGCAAACAAGTCTGGAAATGTCCAACTGCAAGTAGAACTGGGGTACCTACTTAGAAAAACATGTATTAACAGTTCTTATATACTATAGTGTCTGAGTTCTTTTCTGGTACGCATACTAAATGCTACTGGTATTCTTTAGTGTCCTCCTTAATAATTCCCGTAGAGTTCACGCCATCTCTGAAACCTTTTCCAGTCATTTTCCTTGTCCTCCACAGTTTCTCACTGGAATGCTAGCAGACAAAAAGAGTACCAAGGAAAGGCACTTGCACTTGGCTCTTTTATGCAGTCTTCATAGTGGGCTTTTCATAGGGATTTCTGGGAAGCAAGGCGCAAGTGCCTCTGCATTCCCATGCACAGTGCTGCCTCCCAAAACAGATCCACCCTTCCCTACTTCTGCTCTTTACATGCCAGTACAGGACAAGGAAATTCATCAGTAGGCAGATTAAGGAATTCATGGGCAATGGGAGTACACTGGGCAGCCATGGCAGAGGGTAGGGGCTGGTGGGGATGTGAGGACAGAGAGCCCCATCTGTTTTGAGGTCACAGAGCCCCACTGTGATCTGCTGTTCAGTGCCAGCTCTGGACACCTCTGAGGCAGCAGCAGCAGCAGCATGTTGCGAGCACTGGGGGTCGTGGTCCTCACCCGCTGCCTCCCCCTCTTTCTGGTGGCCCTGCAAGCCCAGGATGCCCAGTCTGCTCCAATGCAAGGGCAGGGAGCAGGTAGGCAGGCGGGGGCCAGCACCCACCCTGGGCTGGTGGCAGTGTGGCCAGGGCGAGGACTGGGTGAGCCAGGAAGGCAGCACGGTGCGGGCAGTGGGGCAGACACAGCCCGGAGAGGTGTGGAGGGGCTGCAGCTGCTTCAGGGGTTGTGGGGAGACAGGGTCCTCATGATCAGGGAGGAGGGGAGTGGCAGTGCAGGGCCAGAAACTTGGCACTCATCCATCACATTGCAATGGTTATCCAGCCTCATGGCTGAGCTCCAGCACTGAGCCACAGGCAGGTCGTGTGGGCACATCGTGGCTTTTGCTTCCTTTCAGAGCTGCCAGCTCAAAGTCCCAAGGGCAGCCAGGCACCCCCGCAGCTGTGAGAACACAGACCTGTCTGTGTGGCCTGTCATTCCCTGACCCCCTTACACTTTCTGCCCTTGAGGTGTGATGGTAACTTCTTGTGGGTGTTTGGTTGTAGATGTGGCCAAAGGAAGGCCACTTCCTGCTCCTGAGCCAGATTCCATGTTGATTCCAAGCTGGTATCTCAAGGGTGAGTAGTCAGGCTCTGCTATTTCACAGAATAGGCACCCATGTTCCATCTGTTAGTCATGGGAAATGTACCTTCATATGTTAATGTCCTTCTATAAATCTCAAATAGTGAAGGATTCCCAGAAGATACCTGTAGTTCCAAAGGAGCTCCTAAGAGCCTTGGAGAAAGCTGCATCTGGTTAGTATATCCCACTCTCT